AAATGCATCAAAGTTTGAAATTCCCCTTTTTTGTTTTTCTAAATTAATGAGAAGAGGTCAACCAGACAAATATTTTTCTGTGCCTATAGATGTCAGCATATTGCATGAGCACTCAGAGATGGCAGGAAATCAGATTTTAAACAGTTAGGGCTATGTACAAACACCTTGAATTTCCCCTCAGGTTAATTGGCACTTGTTGGAAAAGAAAAGAAACAGCATCACTGAAGTATATGGCTGGCATTCCAGAGTCTGTGAAGGCAAGCAATCTAGTTTATGTTATCTGTTACTATCATGGGAAGAACTCATTGTGGTAATGAGTTTCTTAAATTGCTGAAACAAGATCAGCTCATGAGGAGAGAATCAACAGAATTAAAGTTCCTGATCAAGCATTCATTCTTTTTGGCTATTTTTCATCTTTAAGGTCTTGGAAAAACCTGCCAAATTTTGTGAGTAAGGAAATTACATTGAAGGGATATTCTTTTATCATTTTGGTTTTAACTCACAATTTTCATTTCATTGCATTCAGGTGCAACAGATATAAACTACAAATATGCAACAGCAAGTTTGTTTTGGCTTTATGTCTGATATATGAATTTGCTTTAGGAGGATTGACTTTTTTCTGCTGTTCTTGAATAACTTTGTGTAAGAGTTAATTGAAATGATGCATACAATTTTAAGCAGTAAAAGAAAGGAACTATCAACAACCTAAATTGCTAGAGAGACCTTCCTTTATCAAAAAGTTAATAAAATCATGTTTAATTAAATAAACTTATATCAGAGAAGGCTGAGTTACAACCTTATTCCATAAAGATTACTTACTGAAATCACATGGTACTGTTAATTGTTGCCACTTGAAATACAAATTCCTTCTATGCAAAGCCCTGAACAATTACTGACTTTTATATTTTTATATTGCAAACTCAAAACACAGTTCCTATTCTAATAATTTAAGAAATATCTGCTGAAAGTTTTGTCTTCTCTGCAGTGATGCCCAAAGAGTACTGAAAGAGGATAAAGCATATAGAAAAAGCTGAGTTCTCTACTGTTAAAATCACCAGGGATTTCTCCCCTGATTTTTGAAAGCTTTTCAGTAGAAACAAGACAGCAACAAAGCAGAATATAGTGACTTTTTTTATTTTTTCAGGCTAAGGATACTTTGTTGAATGCTACAACTACAAGTCACATATCAAATCAGGAATAAAATCTATATTTTGTTTTATAACTGTCCGAGAGACAGAAAGGATTCTGAATTAATTTAACTTCATGGATTTGAAATAGTGTCAAGTCAATTTAAGAACTGTTGGAATAAATAATTATTTGACACTTGAACTTCAGTACATAATTTCTGCTACTATGCATATATGAGTGACAGAACAGAGGTTTGCTTTGATGTGTTCTGGAGAGTGTAGCCAAGTCATTCTTTCTGGAATGCTGTAAAATGCAGGCCTTATTTCATATTAAGGAAGTAGAAAGATTTATTATAATGTTTTGCTGAATCTCACCTAAATGTATGTCAAATTCCTGACAAGCCTCCAATTTTGGATAATTCCTTTACTGTGTTTGAGCATTTTCCACATACCTGATATTTACAGGCCCTGGCCTGCCATGACTAATGTATTTAGTAATGTTATGACAAGATTTTTTATGGCAAAAATACTATCTTCATTTTAATAAAGGCAGACCAGGAAAAATCTAACATTTGAAATAACTTCCCCGAAATATTTATTTGAAATGGAGAAGTTCCTACTCAGGTTTCTGGGAAGACTTACTCACAAGCACCAAGCGACTGTCTATAGGAGGTGTGACTGAAATGTGGGAGACTCAGATTAAGTACTCAGCTCTGAGTCAGGATAAAAAAGCTCCATGTAAATGCCTCCTCCCTGGCAGTCATCTGTGCCTCGGGAGTATGCCAGGGGTGATGTTTCTGGCTTTGATCAGTTAATCTGTCCACAAGCTGTAAAATGCTATAAAGATGAAGGTATAATAAAAATTACTTTCTACTCACAAAAAACCAAACCAAAACAAAACCTCAAAAAATAAAATCCAAAGAATTCTAAAAAGCAAACTAAAAAGCCACAACATAAACAAAACCAAGTTCACAATCCTGAAAAAAACTGATTTTTTTTCTTTTCATGAAAAAGGATTGTTTTGTGTCACAATTGGGATGAAATAACAGTATTCATTTGGATCAGGAGAGATCAAAGTGTGTTGAAATCTGTGGTATTTTCAAAGTTCAGCTTCATCTTCAAATGAGGCTAAATGTGATGCATGTTTTATGCAAACTGAATGAAGTCAAGATATAAGCTATACCAGTAAGGTAGAGCTATATTTGGACAGTTGATCTGTGTTGTAGGTTTTGCCTAATCTGATTGCTAACATGTTCTGTAAACCAAGGTATTTACTGGAAAAAACGTACATGATCTATATTTCTTCCTGTAAGCCATCTAATATAACCTGGTTGCAGAAAAAAAATTAAAAAAGAAATCGGTTCCTTACTTCAGAGTGCTACTGAATTACAGATGAAAAACAACTTTTTATTGTGCTCATCTCCACCATGGCTTCTGTGAAGGTTTCAATTCACCTGAATAGTAACAGTCTTTAATCAAGGCAGTGAAGATAGTGGATTCAATGCTTTCGTCTGTGGATTCATATCATCACTCCACTACCTGTTTTTCTTTTCTGACAGGCTTCAGTCACTTCATTTTCTCACATTTCTGGCTCAACAGCTCAAAATGAAACTTGGCTGATGTTGCAGCAGGAATTTTTCAAGGTTTTCTCTATAAATTTCTTTTACCTGTACTCTGCAGGCTTCGTATTTATAAGCATCAATGGTTATTTTTCTCCCTGCTTTTCTGAAGCCATAGGATTAATACATAGGATTTTGCTTTTGAGGCTTCGAGGCAAGCATATTGAAGTGACTGCTGCACAGTAAATATAACATCAATTTACACTGGATTTTCAAATGTTTACAATTTAAACTAGCAGGAAGGTACCTCTCAGAAAACTGAAAATTCTATATTGCAATTCAAATTCCTACTGTTCCCCTTTAATAAATAATTTTTCAATATCATATCAAAGGCCAAAAGGCCACTTTTTATTTACCATAGCAAGAACACACATAGATATGTCAATCATTCCTCATACTTTTAAGACTCCACTGCAGATGTCAATCAAGTGGCAAAACCAGAATATTTACTTGTCAGAAATTTACATTTGGCCTAGCTATTAAAAGGAAGGATAATATATTTAATAAGGATGTGATAAGGATGGATACTATTAATAGGTTTTGTTTTAATGCATTTTTTTTTTTTTGTTACAGGTAAAGTAATTATTATACATTTCAACAGAATGAGCTACCCAAAATGAAACACTGATATGACAGATCTCTTGATAAGGAGCAAATGTGATACTGGAAAAGATGCATTTTCTGGCACTGTGTGAGTTATCTCCAATTAAAACTTCCCAGCATCCTAGGCATATTTTACACTAAACACTTCAGTTCTGTGTATAGAAATTATATATGCATTTAGCATGTATTTTAAGAAGGAAAATAAGATTAAATTATACGCATGCATTCTAAACATACTGGGGATATTCAGGTGACAAACAGCAGAGATATGTGATGAATTCCATCCGCCTTCCAGTTTATGTATTGATTTTTTTATAGCACCCACCACACTAAGTGTGAATTACACATGCAGCTCTGAACACTCCACCTGCACTCTGCCCACTACTGCATTTCTTCCAAGATTACTTGCAACATATCACACCTCTACACAGTGTGAAATGTTTGCCATTTTTATTTCTAAAACCCATCTTCTAAGGAGTTGTTTCTTTCTTCACTGAAAAGTTACAGTTGTTTAAGAGGCAGAACAGGCTATGTAGAAAGTGAGAACAGGGAGGAGTTTTAGCTTTGACACTGTACAACACTATGCAGAAAGAGAAGCTACACAAATTTCTGTAAGGAGAGTGATTTTGCTTCCAACCACTTCCAAAGTCCACAACCATTTTGGGGGGTGGGCTAAGGGTACCATTATCTTTTTTCTCCAACAGCTGTCTCTGCAGTGTCATTTGAAGAGCCTCATGGCCACATAGCCTGGTCTGGCACGTGCTATCCAATAACTCCTAGCAGATAGCATACCAGCTTCAAGGACATCCATGGAAACTGTGCCTACATTACATTATAACTTTTCAGTTATTATCATTCACATTACTCTCATTCATGCAAAGCAATTCATTATTAATCTGAAAACATACTACAGCATTCAAAGTACAATGGCCTGAAGAACTCAGGTGCTGCTTCACTGCCTGTGTATTGCAGGAGCACTTGGCTGTTTAGATCCACCACCACTGTATGTTTCATACGCTGACATCTGCAGAGCTTTCTTGGGCCACCTGCTTGGTGTGCCAGGCATTACAGTTACATACACAGGTCACACCCAAATTTAGCACTGAGAAAAGACAACTTTCACTTGGTACATGGTATTTATGAGCTCTACGCATGATGACCTCTTTTACTAAGGGACAGGAGCACCTGTGACAGAAGTTCATTAATTTTACTGCCTTATCTAAATCCATTTACTTCCTTTAGTAATAAACTCAGGTTTGATATTATTTAAGTTCATTCTTATTCAGAGATGAGACCTTGAGTTTTGTTGTTTTAGGGATCCAGACTAGACTCTCCAGCACTGTCTAAATGTCTCCATTCTCGAGAATGGCATTTGGCAGTTAGTCACTTACTCATGTGTGATGCTGATGGGAAAGAATTGATGCCATAAGTATGCAGGGGATCACTGCATCTGCCTCCTGTCAACATCTTTCCTAAATGGCAAGGACAGTTTGCTTTTATAGTTCTTTGACGGAAATAAGAGGCAGTTGGCAGAAATGCAGCTGTTATGAGAGAAGTATTTCAGACAGGGCAGGGAAGCAGAAAAGAAGATGCTCTCTCCATCTTTTACTTGTATAGAGATTTAATTCTCCATTAATATTCTAGCTATTTGCAATAGCAAGTTGAGATCTCATAGTGGCATCTGTGGCCAAATGTCAGTACTTAAACCATGTGTACTCTGAAGTTTTTCCAGCAGTCTGTCATTAAGTATAACTTGACAAAATTTAAGTAATGCCAATATGAGATGAAGACCGTGCTACTGCAAAGCCTTTTACCTTGAAAAAGCCTTTAATAGCATTTGGGAAACTAAATATACATTATAGCTCTGAGCTCTCAGTTTCCAGAGAGTAAAAACAAATTCTTTCCATCCATACAACACTCAACCATAAGAATATCCGGTGTCTTTTTTTATTACATAGAGCAGTTTCAGAAGCTTCAGATGAGAATATGTGCACACATATATCCAGTAATTCTCTGGTGCATTCTTCCAGCTTTGAACACTGAGTAGATTACAGACTGATCTGCTCTGTGCATCAAGAGCCTCTGTCACACAACTGTGAAACTTGAAAACTGGAGAAGAATGCAGAGCATTTTTACAGTCCAGGTCAAGCAACAGCTCTCCCATGGGATGTGGTAAGGATTTAAAGCATGCAGGTGTCTGTCTCAAGGAACAGTCAAGGCCACAGAAGGAACTACAGTATAAACCACAACAGCAGAAACTTGAGATAAGCACAGATAGCAACATCAGGAAGGTTCTAATTCCTGGCCTAATGGAGGTGAAGACTTGTTTAGCACACTGGACAAAAATTCCTACTGTGCAGATTGTGAGAAAGATAACAAATACTTATACCCATGTGAGCCCATATTGTAGGAACATCTGTGACCACACTGAGGATACCCAGACTTGAACTGTGTAAAGGTGGTACCACCAGAAGAACAACTCTGAGACCCCCACCACTGAGAAGACCAGGAGGGAGGAGGACTAGCAGGATGCCACTGCATCCATGGGAGGTAATTATCTTCTGCTTGATCTCTCCATTTCTCTCTCTCTTCCTCTCTCATCCCTCTGGCCCCCTTCTTTTTCCGACTTCTTTCTATTTCTCTACCTCAAATTTGCTGTTAAAGAAAATCCATACTATTGACTCCAGCCTATGGTCTTGTTTGTACCTTAATTCAGGCAGAGGCATCTTTTAGTAATTGTATCATAACAGGCGGGGGCAACTGTCAGTGACTTGACAGTCTGTCACCCCTTGCAATCCTTAACTCACTGGGATCGCCTTACCTAGACACTGATCCCATATCCTACCCTTCCGCACCCTTCCAGCACAAATGTAATCTCATATCAGAATACCAGGGAAGAGTCCCACGGAAGTTATCTGCATTTTCTTTTCACCATGTCAGGGGTTTATGGTGCAGAAGCTTGAGATAAGCTTTTATAAAAATCCTTAAAATACCACACTACTATGAAAACCAGTATGATGGAAGAAAAAAAATGTCCACTTTATATGTACATCCCAAAGAAATCTCATCTAAAAAAATTACTAGCAATTTATAGTTGCAAGATTACTGGACTTAAATTTTATCTCTTTTTCTGCCTTTATCTTTTAATTTCTCATCTTAAAGTGCACATACATTTCAATGGAAATTATTTAAACAAAATAATTTACATTTATTTCCTATGGATAACTGCAGTGCAGTTAACATTGAGATGAAACAGATTAAAAAACTTTCAAACTATTTTCAGCAGTAAAAAGATTCTTGCAAACACTTCTTAACAGGAAAAAGCCACATGGCTGATTTTGACAGCCAAACAGCTGCTCTAGAAATATATATCAAGTTTTTTAATGAGAGAAAAAAAGAGATGTGTTAATTACAATTATCTTATTATTTTGCATCAGGATTGTCTCAGACATGTATATATGGCAAGTATCGGCTTCTGAAAATAAGAACTGGCAGTAAAAAGAGGTCTGTTTTCTATTCAGATTACTTGCTAAAATGTCTATTTGTGTTACATTTTAATTCACATAACAGCATATCTACTTATATATTCACATATGGTACTTTAAATTAAAGATTATTTGTCAAGTCCATCTAATTTTATAAAGGTATAATTTGATTTGTAAACTTTTGAGACTGTGTCTGTGACAAATTTTAAAAGCAATGAATGAATTAAGAAGCAAACTCATTATATTTCCTGATAGATAAAAAAAGCAATATTACTTGGGAGGCAAATTATAAAATGTTTTTCTTAATCCGGGGGACCTCAAATATTAATTTTCAGAGAAACTAACTTTTTAATGCTGCTTTAGACTTATTTAATAGGAGGAATGGAGACTCTGAATGAGTTTCCAATGCCAAAATTCAACAATTCATGTAGAAAATTTATGTCTTTGGGATAAAATACTACTAAAGGATTGTCCACATTGTTTATAATTCAAAGTATTTTCATTCTTGGTTTTTTTTTTCTTTCTTCAAGAAGTAGCCCTATAAGAAAGTTAAACTAAATTTGCCTTAGCTAACTGGATTTTCACCTGAAATCTGATGTGGCTGAACATTAGTTCATTAGAGCATTTGGTTTTACTCAAATCAACACTACAAACCAATGTTTATATATGATAATATATATGATATGTGAGAAATCACACTGAGATTTTTTCATAATTGTGGTTTTAAAGATGTCATCATCAGTAGATATGAAAGTATTGCTGATTTAATTACTTAAAAAAAAATTCTGTAAAGAATATTTCCCTTTCTTCATCCAGTTACAAAAATTTCAGTCTAATTCATTTTACTTTGGTGCCTGGGTTGGCAGCTGGGCATAGCAGACATTTATTGGCAAAGGTAAACTATCCATAAGGGGAAATATAAGTCTGAAAGTGGAATAATACCTTTTTTAGAAAATAATATTTAAAGAACCAGAATTAAACACATTACTAGTTGTTGGTTTATATGAAGATTTTGACCGTTTGGAAAATATAATTTACACAAAGCAAAATCACTGTTATAAAAAAGATTAATACACTAAAATCACACTAAAAATACACAAAAATGGAATTATTTTTTTCTATAAAGAAAATGGAAGAGGAATATTTCTGTCTAGATAGCAATTAAAGGAAAAAAACCCACCAAAACCCAAAAAACCTCCAAACAAAACAAAAACAAACAAAACCCCAAAAACAAACACAAAACCCCCACAAACTGAACAACATTTGAACTGAATAGTATTGAAGCCTGGCTGAGTTTTATTTGTCCCTCTGAAGCAGCCCAGTAAAACAATGCCAGATGGTCATGTTATTTCACTCCTAAATTGGATTTTAGATTTGAATCAGATAAATACCTATTACATAGTGTGCCTTTGAAGCATAGTCTGTTGTCTAGGAGACCTAAACAACATCCATTTTTCCTTTCAGCACATAAGAAATTATTGAGATCTAGTATGCTTGACATGTTGAAAGATCACAGATAGGCCCCTTGCAACTCGGGAAGATGTTCTATAAATGTATCGCATTGTTACTGCACTGAAGAGACTGTTTAAATTCTCCATTGCTCCTAGGTCAAAACCAGCACATTTTGAGACACAGATCTTATATCTCAAGTGGAAGAGCAAAATCTTGATTCTTCATTACATAGATTTCTTCAGATGCTGCACTATGCTGCTTTGAGGGAGATTATTCCTTTCCCATTCCATAAATAATGCTTATCAAAATATGTGGCTACATTCACCACATCTGCATCTATTTTTACTTTTCATAGAGACTCAGTACATGCTTTCTGATGTTGAACAAGTGTCCTTACAGAGGCTGAAGAGGTGATGCTGGTGTAATGAAAAGGGATTGTTGGTGAGAACAGCATCTGCAAGTGAATACTGTGTTTAACCCTGAGAAGAAATGATTACTTCTCAATGTGTCCTTAAAGAACAAAACGCCCCATGAACACTTCAGCTCTGTTCTGCTCATTCATTGTTTTTGAAAAGAAAACCCAACAAACCAACAACATATAATTTGAACAAAAACATCCTGAGATTTAATATTGCCTTTGCTAAAGATGGAACACTGTGAGGGAAGGCTGACAGATTTTCTTTTTCTTCATATCATATTATCACTGTTGTATTTTAAACACCAAATTCAGTAAGAAAATCCTGTATACCTTGAAGTCACTTCACAACAGTTTTCGCAGAAGAGAGTAATTCCCATATTTCCAGGGAAAGGTAATGGTCTACATTTAGTGTCATATTCTTAGGAATATAATTGACTTTTAGATCAGTGTGACCTGAACAAATCACAGGCTAGGCTGGGTTTTTATTTAGTTACTTCTGAAATAGAGCCATGCTTTCATACTTCACCCTAACACTGATCTCAAACTACAACACTTGGGAGGATTTTCAAAAACAAAAACTACATGTATAAAAAGAAGGAAACCTAGATTTTTTTTAAAATTTTCCGACATTTCTCCTTGTTCCCATGAAGCCACTGCACAAATGGCAGATGAGTGCCAGAAGTTTTTTGCCTATGTACATTTTGCATTTGGCAGTGCTGGTCATAGAGATTGTTGTAAAAAAAAAAAAAAAAAAAAAAAAAAAAAAAAAAGGTGATAAGGAAGGATGTCCCGTGAAGCAATCAAATTAAATTAATTAAATTTAAGCATAACTTGCAGTTTTGTAACACTTAGCAGCAGTAGAATGGGATATCAAACCTTACAGAAGAGAGGAAAAAGCCTGAATGGGGGTACAGCTTTTCAAAAAATATAGTTTGAGTGGGGGACAGGTGAGTTTGCAGAGGTATTAGGTTTTATTTATTCTCTCTAAACATATGAAGATTTGTCATTGTAGTATTCAGCAGCACTTGCCAATATAATGGGTGTGAGTAATGTAAAGCATGTTTTTTCAATTTCTGTGTATATAATGTAATATAATTTGAGGTATCTTCTATGTGCCATGTCCCCTAACTGAACTGACTAGAATGTCTAACTTGAATGAAATATGTGACAGATTCTGAATTAATAATTTTTATATTTTTTAAATGAGATGCTCATTCTGTTTATCACTGAGCTGAGGAAAATCACCTTCGAGTATGAAAGGAATAAAGTAATTGTCCATGCTGTCTTAGTCCTGACACTCTGCTGACCACAGACTGAGAATTGCCAATTAAGCCTAATTGTGATAAATTATATTCTCTTTATTAAGGATAATGGGGGACTACTGTCTAACAGGTAATAACCCTAACCCACTGTTCAAATTGTGGTTAAAACCTCAGGTTAGATTTAAATGACCATAGATGTGACACGCCAGTGTTCCATGTACTAGAGCATTATTACAGTATTCTCATTTACATACACAATTAATTTTGGCACAGTGTTAGACATTGTTTGCCATAAGTATGGCTGACTAGACTTTTGACTACACTGAGTTTTCATTTGAGTTTTAATTTGAATTCTCTTTTCCTTTGAACTCTATCTGAATCTGTATTAAGACAGGAAATGATTTTACATCTCTGCATTTTATTCTCTTTTCTTGCCTTAAAACAACCCCTGTAGCAAACAGCATTCTGAAATATCCGAGAAGTTTGAAAAAAAATTCAAGTATAAACTTCCCTCCATATGAGAGAAAAAACTAGCCAAGAAAAACCAATCATTCCTGCACTGATCAATACATAGACCTGGCAAAAAAAAAACCCAAAAAACCTCAAACCCTTCCAGCTGGAAAAATAATTTCCTTTAGGCAAACAAATACATTAAGTGTATCTATAAAATTACTCCTTGGAAATATTTCCCAATTTTCCACCAAAGCCAGTGTTTGTAAAAGCCATATTACCAGTCTTTCACTATGAAGATGAAACACTCCTCTATGAATTTTAGAAAATATATTGTTTATGTGAAAATTTTCCATTGAGATAAAAATGATACTACAATAATCAGATGTATTCAGTAGCTTGAAAAATATGTCAACAGACTTTAATGTACAGGAGCCAAACTTCAAAGACTTTTTTTCAAAATTTTCATCCAGTGTTAACTGATTTTCCCAAAATCAAGCCACAGTAAAATGGTAAAAAGAACAGGGTTTTGTTCCCCAACATCTTTAGATGGCATATGTGTTAATGAAAAGAATTTGTCTATATAAAGGAAGATATATACTATAATTTATGGAGAACTCTAAATGTTCTAATTTTAAACATAACTGGATCATATTTAAATGATCATACATGTGGAGAGGGATCTTGAAAAATCCCAGTAAAACTACTACACAGAACAATCCAGGTTCATTGTAGTTATCATGATTTTAACTGGCTTTTTCACTAACAGTTTTGGTGACATGTATTTTAGAGGCCTTCTATATTGGGTCACAGCTGGGCTACACCTATTTTTCCTGCATCACTACGAACTCCTACACTGTGCTCCTAAGTGGTAGATTTCTTAAGCAATATGAAACATACACACCCGAAGCTCTCAAACACCATAAAAGCATTTAAGAAGTAAAGTGATTTTGCTAAAAAGTTCAAGAAGATTAAATTTAAAAAAACATTTTACCATAAATACCTTTACATTATGGAAAAGGCTGAATGAAATTCTGGAAATCAGCAAATTATCAAATAAATAGCATACATATTTTATTTCCTCTAACAATCTGTTCTAGAAAAACAACTTTTAATTATTTCTTCATCTCACTATGCATTAACCAGTCCGTTCTTATTTGTTAACAAACCTCCCATGTTTTCTCCAAACCATTTTGCATCACGAAACCAGTGTTCTATCTGTATTAATAAATCCCTCAGTTTATCTTACCATTCAGATGAATGTTTTCTGATAAATGTTTTATCCTAAATGTGCATCAAAATATTCAGCATTTGAAGTATTGGACTCAGTGACATAAAATAAATTTATATTTCTATTACTCCTTTAATATTTGTGTGACAGTTCTATAAGTCTATGCATGCATTGAGTGTGGAATATGATTGGGATTGATAGACGAATTTATCAAAGATTCATATATTTTTGCTGACAGATTTATTTTTTTTTTTATTTTTTACTTCAAATTTGAAAGGTATTTTATGTTAACTGAAATTCAGCTTTAGGTTTCAGCACTTAAAAGTCTGGAACAGTACATAATAAGATTCTGACTTTCCTCTTCTGATATGGATAGCATCATTTAATGATTCAGATCCTTTTTTCTGTGACCTACTTTTAGGAGAAATTCCAGTCTCTTAAGCTCAGGGCATGTTTTTGAGTTTGTGATTCAAAACTAAATTTAAAGAACAGGAACTTTATACTGGTGGTTTAGGATGAGTCAAGTACAAGCAGGCACTATCACGGCTTTAAATCTACTTTCTATTAATGTTTATAATTTCTGAGTTACAGAGCAGTGGCACACTAAGAATATTTATAACCTGCTTATATTTCAGAAAAAAGGATTCATGTGTTATCTTTTCCCTTCCAGTTTCTTTCCAAGAGGCACTGCCTTTGTTACAAGACTGGAGCTTCCTAATTACCCACAATGCATTAACCATTGCCTAAAATCTGATTCCTGGGGCCAGATGAGCTCAGGCACTTGTGGAGTCCTATCCTCTCCACAGCAGCCCAAAGAAAGGAGAGAGGAGGAAAAGACTCCTCATCAACAAAGCAAGGAAAGGAAATTACCTGATGGAAAGGAATGAAGATGAGAGAGCTGGAGTCTTCTGTAGGACCAAGTGAAACACCAAGAGGTAATCAACCTGAATGACAAATTTCAGCAATGGAAAGTGCCAGATTACGCACCTGGGAAGGATGACCCCTGGATGTACACAGACTGAGGAGTGAGATGCTGGGAAGCAGTGCTACAGAAAGGGATTTGGGGGTCTTGGTTGATGCAGAGTTGGATATGTGTCAGCAGGGTCCTGGTAGCCAGGGGAGCCATCTGTGTCCAATGGTTCATCAGGAACAGCATCATCCTGGACATCCTACTATAGCTGACCCTGCCTGAATGGGGAGGGTGAGTGTGGTGTTTGGGATGTGTGGACTAGATGATTTCCAGAGCTCCCTCCCAACTTCACCTTTTCTGAGATACTGTGATTCTATGAGCTGAAGTCTCCCAGTTCTAAAGAACAACATGATCCAGATTCTGATTTCAAGGGCACTGAAGTAACTCTTAGGATATCTGATGCCTTTCCCTGAAGTCAAATGAAAACGGGGAAATAGGTTTCTCAGAACAAGATTCACAGCCCCATACAAGCTTGGGCGTTCATGGAGATCTTCACTTCCAATTGGGAAATCAAAACAATTTTCTCCCTTAAAGAAAGGAACAAAATTAATTATTCCATCCCAGAGGGAAGAAAGTAACACGAATCAAGAAAATAAAAAAGGACAAGCTTTATTTGAGCTTCTGTTTGATTCTTGTGTGGAAAAAATAACTCTTGGGTCCCCTCTGAGCAGACAAGCCATTTTATACCACTGTTGAAGTAGTCTACAAGCACTGGAATAAAAATTCATAACATTTCAGTCAATCACCTGCTATGTGAGTCAGAGAACAGTAAGCTGAGCAACTAGACCATCTACGTTGATAGCTTAAATCACACTAAAAGGGAAAAGTGTAAAGCTTCAAAATTTAACACAGTCCAATAAACGTGCACTTCACTGAGGTTTGTTTTTTTTCTTATATAAGGGGCAGAGCAAGATATAGATCATAAAAAGCTAAGTAAAATCTGACATTACACTGAAGATTTAATACTCACTGTTTTCCACTGCCAATGTAATCAGAGAAATAAAACTCCAACTATTACAAGCCAAGCATATTAAAGAAGCAGAGTTTATCTTCCCAAAACCGCTGCATTAATTGTCTTGTCAAGTATTAGTAGTCAAGTTTTATCCCTTAATGAGGAAAGTGTCATGAATTAAGAAAAGTGAAATGTCTCGAATAATAATCATAAAGTTAAATAAAATGAATTAATGAAAGGATATGTACATTTTTAAAAAAATATTTGAGATAGAAAAACAAAGCTAAAGAAAGATAAACTAGTAAACGTAGCAAAGCATAATAAAGCCACTTTGACAATAAAAATACAAAAGCAAAAGACATACCACAAAGAAACTACATAAGTTCAGTATAATGACACAAATTATTAATTGCAAACTCAACAGGTAAATATCAGTAGAAAGTGCAAAGAATTAACTCAGCATAAATAAGAGTGTAATTCTGTTTTACTCATTTCTTCACAGTGTAGGATAATAAAGTCTAAACAGGATATAAAGGGATCATCAAAAGCTCAGAGAAAGGTGGAGGAACTTCACAAAATTCCATAGCACAGTCAGAAATGCACAAAGGCAATTAAAATATACCAAGATTTTGGAAATATTTTATGTTACAAATATACTCATTTGCTATGATAAAAGTGCTCCATGCTCCATTGGCAGACTTAGGCAAGCTTCCTTTAGACAGAAATAAAAATATCTTTTTTTTAGTTGATTTGAAATGGAGCTGATGTTTTCTACTGTAAATCATCAACATAAAATTTAAAAGTTGAATTAAGAAACAGAATTTTCAACTGAAAAAAAAAAAAGATTCTTAATGTTCCTATTCAGTGTCCAGTGAAACAAACTATTAATAATGTAGTGTTTGTGAAAGCAATGAAAATCTGTACTTCATAGCTCTGGTAATATATATGATGCATAGCAAGTTTTCTAAGAAAGAATATGAATAACTACTAAAGAACCCATAATCCCACTAATAAAGACCAAAGGGGTTTTGGGGTTTTGTTTTGTTTTGTTTTGTTTGTTTTTTTTTTTTAATAGTTAAGAGCTATAAGCAAGAACATTTATGAGTGTTTCGGGTAAGACCTTCAATAGACCTGGTAGTTCATATCAATATGGCCAAGCATGTGCAGAGGCACTCTGGCACTGTTGAAATCAAAGTGATTAAGACAGCCTACTCCTAAAAAGGAATAGTTTGGTTAGGGTTAAAGACTTATTTCTTGATACAAGTGGGAAGGAAATCAGTCGTGCTAAATACCAACCAGTCAGTGAATAATTAAAAGATGCGTCTGGAGACTGTCATTTTGTGGAACAAGGGGGACCCTCAATCCCTCTTTATTTTTAAATGCACATTTTGGACAAATCAAAATAATGGTATATAATGTGCATCAATGATTTCTAGATGTATCTGGATGTTTAGGCAGACAAATAATTCTTGCATGTCAGTGAATTTTCCAGCTTGTTGGAACTGGATTGCTACAAATTCTATGTGACAATCAAATCATTAGTTCTTGTTGCCAACAGAAGTGACAGATTTTCATTTACAAAAGAAGTTTGACATGAATTTGGTCTCTTGTTAGTTTTTTCTCAACATCTTGCAAAAGGGAGCTGGATGCAAATTCACCAAATGAAAAGTTTGCCACTGGCAATCATCAATTTGAAGAAATCAAGATATTTCATGCAAAACTGCAATTTCTGTTATGACTTTTGAAGATAAGGAAGGAGATGATGCTCCTCAGATCCCTGTGGGCGTCTTGGTACCTATGTTCAGAATCACAGGGCCATATCTTCAATGCCTTAATATAAATGATCAAGAATTTTCTATTATATAACAGGTTACGCTTGGAGGATAAAGAGTATTATTACTTCAAAAGTGAATATTGCTGCTAAATCACTTTCTAGTATGGCTGGAGGTTTAGGGTTGACTTTTCCAAGTGAGAAGGGAAATTGGAAATATTCCCCATGGCAGGTGACTGCCATATCACCCTGTTACCCCAGTGTTTCTGTGCTAAATGAAGAGCCAATGTTCCTGTGGACTGGCTCTCTGCCTGACCCAATGAGAACTGCCCAGGGTGGCATATACTTCAAATCCAAATCTGCAGTGACATATTTCCTCTCCTCCAATACATCATCAGTATTACAGCAGTTATCCTTCTCACTTCTGCCCTTGATAACATCTGGATCATGCTCTGAGAACCCTACTGATAGGAATGGCAGAGGACTTCCAGGCATTTCACATCTTTTCCCCAAGCATAATGAGTCATTGTTTGAATGTTTGAATAAGCAGAAGTTCTTATAGACAAGAAAGCAGAAGATATGGTGGAGCTATGCAATGGGGACCATGAGCCAGCTCCACAGGGTACTGTGGGCTGTGAGTTTGGAGACAGGGTGGGAGGGAGGCAGCGCCTCTGCACCGGTCATACCTGCATCTCTGAAACTAGCTAAAACAAACACACAGCTGGAATTGTCCCTTTCCTCCTGCTGATGATCAGCATCCTTTATTTCATCTCCAGAAATATGTTAGCCTAAGCAGCAAATGTAACTGAGAGATGTGGACTCCACTTTGGCCCTGACTCTTATGCATTAGGCTTTGTAGCATGTACGGCATTTCAATGTTCAAGTAAATTACACTCACAGACAGGTAGGTATTTCATTATGGTTTGCACCATCAAGTTGTTGCCAGAACTGTGTCTGAGGAGTAGTGTATAGACAACTCAGTCTCATATCATATAATTCAATAAATCTAGCTCTTTGTAATTTCCTTAGTTTATTTATCAAGTGATATGAAAAAGAAAGAACAAAAGTTATCTTTTCTCTGGAATTTTCTCTGCCATAAGCATGATGGCAGCCTTAAAGAAATCTTCCATGTCAAGACGTGCCTTTGCCTTTAATGTTTATCTGTTGTTAATTGGCCTCTGTTTTTTTTCTTCTTAATTATGGATGAAAAGAAAGAAACTTTCATAGGCTCCTTTTAAGTTAAGAGAATAAACATAGTATCATTAGATAGTTAACATTCAAAGCTTCTGCTGGTACCAGGATGGTATGCTGTAAAGACTTCCTCAACTTTATTATAAACACTTCAGTCTCTCCTCACTGTTGATTCTACTCCAATTCTTGAACACTGCTGGAAAATCTAGATTATTAACTCAAATAAATAAGGCAACAGCATGCCTACTGTGGTTCTCATCTAGCTGCACCATGTATTGAGTCCAGTTTTCCTCCTTATACATTATCCATTATGATTTTACTTCAAGAAATTGGAGAAGTTGTCATGTTACACCTTGAACTGCTGTACACAAACAGCACTCCATTACTGATAAACAGAGAATAAAGAAATCTTAGCAGGGATTCAACTACTAGAAAGTAAATTATTTGATCCCTGAGCGAGATACACAATTTTTCAGCCTGTAAAGGACTGCATTGTTGCACTGACTTCAAATCCTTTGGTTGTCCACGGGTTTTGGTTAAAACCCCACATATTTGTGGTTTTTTGTCCTTGCAAGTACAAAATTAGAGGCAAAGAATAAGACTGCATTCAACAGGATGTTAAAAAAATACTAGAACCAGTGCCAGAAATCGTGGGAAGGCACTGAGGCAGGCAATGTGGAAATGTCCATGTGATACTCTTCAGCTATACATGCATCCCGCCTGATTATCTCAGTTCTGGTTTGCTTCTGCTGCAGGTCTTGCCAGCTTTCATAGCAGTTCTGTGACACAAATATCTTTCAAATGTGAAATGTGGACTAAAACTGAAAATTCATTTCATCTTGCGTTGCAGATCTGGAATATCATTTGAGATCCAGAACGTCAAAAAGGATATAGTTAATTTGGGAAATATGACAACAGACTAAAGGTGTAACAGCTACCATCATAGCTTTATAAAGAATATTTCAGAACATTCTTCAAATTCAAATGCTGATTCAGAACATTTCAGGACAATGTGTCTGATAGTCAGTTATAGCTAGGCAAGATGGGGAAATACTTTCCTAGTACTCTCAGTAAAGATGGACACATCTTTTGTGAAGTGGAAAACAGGATAAAATTAGACAAAATCTTGACTCAAATGAGAAATTATTGCCACCTCAAATTTTGGAAGTCTTCATAAAACTACGATTTGTAGTTCATGCTTCATAGCTGAGACTACGAGAAACACAAACCAATTTTAAATTTGAATTAAATTCAAAGAGAAATCCTGAACAATAACCTCAACTCCAGTTATAAAATCACTTTCTGAAGTACCTGCTAGCTGAAAAACCTGACATGTATGGCTTGTTCTTTCCATTTCCCCTTCTCTTTTCATCTTCCCTCTTCCAGTTCTTTCCTCCTGCTTTTTCTATTTTTGCCTTTTGCCTTTTTCCTCATCCCTTTCTCCATTTCCTTGCCTTGCCTTTTTGCCATGATATTCCCACACAGAATAAGATGTTTAAGAATGTGAAAAATCTTCTGATAGTCTGAAAAAAATGCAGTTCCAGTGCATGGTCCATGCTTTAGTCACTGGAGAGAGAGGAAACAGTTGCAGTGAGATAATACTCATGGTGCCTTGGTATGCTAGTTTGCTATCCCTTTTTATGGTCAGTTATGTGAACTTAAAAAGACAAAACCTGAAGTGATGCAGGAATCCCTATGAGTTCCTGCTTCTTGCATAGAGAATTTTAAGGCTCTGCCGTAGGATCGCTGTCTCCTGTGTTCAGCTAAATGAAAAACCAAAAGGAGTGGAAAAATGTGTGGTGATAGGTTTGTTAGGATTTCTCAAGACTAGATTAATGTGCAGTTCCCTATGTTCTTTAGAGTTTAAGAGGACAGATGACTGATATGAAACACAAGGACTCTATGATTGTAATCGTCCTATACTTTCCTTACTCTGTTACACAGAGTTTGATCCATTTATGACACAATTTGCTTTTCAGTCCTCTCTGGCTCCAGGAGAGAGGAATACAAATCAGAAAATATTTCTTCGCATTTATTATTGCTAGATGAAAAAATGGTCTATTAAATGACAAACCCGTTAATCTGATCTGACTTTGAATTTTTTTCTATTTTTGAAAGTGTATTTACTGAGATACTCAAAGCTTAAGAGAAAAAGATTAAAGACAGAACTGGTACACAGCTTTCAGTCATTTAAGCAAATGAAAGCAGAGCAGTATTAGAAAAAATAAATAGTACCTATTAGTAATGACAGGAATGGCTCAAGCACATGGGAAAATAACCTAGGCAA